TCTCTCATACTTCGGACATATTGTCAGGAGGGACCAGTCACTGGAGAAGGATATCATGTTTGGTAGGGTGGAAGGTCAGAGAAAAAGAGGAAGACCCCCAATGACATGGATTGGTCAAGTGGCAGCATCGATGGACTCAAGCATGGCAACAATAGTGAGGTTGGCTCAGGATCAGGCAGTGTTTCGTTCTGTTGTGCATAGGGTCGCTATGAGTCACTACTGACTTGATGGCACCTAATAACAACAACATATCTGAATTGAGTTCCAGGTGGTGTTGTCATGAATGGTAATCTCAGGTTGTTGTCTGCTGATGTTGGTTCTCAGTTCAAAGAACACCCTTTAGCATTGTTTGTTAAGTTGGTGTGGTAATTACAAATTCGTTTCATTTCTGTTTATCCAGATTTCACCATCGTATTTGAGAGTCAGCTTTGCTGGGCATACATATGATTCTTGGTTGGCAATTTTTCTCTGTCAGAGTTTTGTATAAGTCATTCCTTCGTGTCTGCCTGGTTTCTGCTGAGAAATCAGAGCTTAGTCTTACTGGTTCTCCCTTGTAGGTAACCTTTCATTTTTCCCAAGCTGCTTTCAGGATTCTTTCTTGTCTTTTATTTTGGAAAGTTTGATTATGGTATGTCTTGGTGATTTTCTTTTGGGATCTAAACTGTTTGGGGTTTGTTCAGCTTCTTATATGCTTGTATTCTCATCTTGCATGATATAAGGGAAATTCTCTTTCATCATCTCTTCAACAATTTACTCTGTGCTTGTCTCTCCTATTCACGAATTCTGATTACGTGCAAGTTGTTCCTCTTCATAGTGTCCCACATAATTTTTAGGCTTCCTTCAGATTTTTTTTCATTTTTTTTCTGATTGTTCTTCTAGCATACTAATATTGAAAGGTTTTTCTTCCAGCTGGCTAATTTGGGTTTCCATTGTTTCACATTTTTACTCCTTTGCCCTTTCAATATATTGTCCATTTCTGAGATCTTAGTATTAATCGACTAGATTTCTAACTGCAGACTTTGTATTGTTTAAAAATTTGCATTTATTTTGTCTCTTTGTTCTTGTAGTATTTTCCTGAACTCTACAGTTTTTATTATACTTTTCTTGCTTACCCTGATCTTTATATTGATCCTTTCAAGGAACCTAATTAACATTTTTTTGAATTGTTTTTCAGCAACATCTTCTGTCTCTGCATCTTGGTGATTTGTTTGAATCATTCTCCCTTATTTTTTTGTGTAAGCTAAAATGGCCTGTTTCCTTTAGGCATAAACAAAGTGCAGCTGTTGGACCCTGAGGGGAGATATCTCTGGGGGCTTTTGCGATTCAAGGAGCTCATGAGGTGGTTGTGGAAGGGATGTGACCACAGAGTTTCTGGCCCTAGATAGTTATCCTACTGGCCTTGGTGTTATCTATGTTTAGGGCACTCAGTCTGAAGTAGTTTGTGAGGGCCTCTGATGAACCACAGGGAGACTGGGGGCAGGGTGACTGGCTAAATGCTGGTCTGGTGGCTCTGTCTGGAACTGAGCCCACTTGAAACCAGACACCAAAGCTGTGTAGCTGACCCCCAACTCACACTGGTTTGTAGCTCCCAAGACGTGGCTCAGAACTCCCAGAGAGCAGGGTTTACTCAGGGTGAATGAAGGTGGGAACTGGTCACACCTCTGCTCACCAGGAGAGTGTGGGGAAGAAGAAGAAATCGCCCCTTTCCTGGTGCCTGTGCTGTGGGTTAATGTGCTGGACTGCAAAGTTGGTTTGAACCACAAGGTCGACAGTTCAAGCTCACCAGTCATCGCTTCTCAGAAACCCAAACCCTATACAGGGTCACTATGAGTTGGAACTGACTCGACTGTACTTAACAACATATAAATGAAAAGATTTTACCCAATACCTTTTCTGCGTGAATTGAGATGATCACATGAGTCTTGCCTTTCTTTTTGGTATGTGGTGAATTTTATTGATTGATTTTCTAATGTGGAACCATCCTGGCATTCCTGGTATGAATCCTACTTGATTGTGATGTAGTATGTATATTTTTGATATAGAATTCTGTTGGCTAGAATTTCAAAATGTATGTTCTTGAAGGATATTGGTCTGTCATTTTCTTTTTTAGTGATCTGTTAGGTTATGCTGGTTTCCCTGAATGAATTGGGGAGTATTCCATTCTTATTCTGTGTGCATGTGTGGATAATTATTTCATTTTCTTTTAACTCTTATATTCCTTCCAGGGTCTCTTTGGACTTCATAATATTTTGCTGATTTCTCCTTTGTTGTTACAGGTTGCCTTTTGCTTCACCCAAGTTAAATGTGTCTACCTCCTAGTTAGTGGCCCACGCTTCCTTACAGATTTCATCATTCTTCTTTAACCTGCTGTAGTTTCTATTACGTGTATGTTTGCCTTTCCAGTCTCTATGGATGGACTTTGAAGTAGTCTCCATCTTATTGCTATTGTGAACAGTGCTGTGATAAACATGAGTGTGTACTTACCTGTTTGTGTCAAAGCTCGTATTTCTCTAGGCTGTATGGCTGGATCTGATGGTATTTCCATTTTCAACTTTTTAAGGAAGTTCCATACTGTTTTCTTCAGTGACTACGCCATTTTACAACTCCACTAACCGTGTATGAGGGTTCCAGTCTCGCCACGTCCTCACTAGCATTTGTTACTTTCTTTCTTTTTCTTTAAACTTTGCTATTAATGCTGGGGTGAGATGACTTCTCATTGTTGATTTGATTTGCATCTCTCAAATGACTATCGATTCTGAGCATTTCTTCAGTGAAGTGTCTGCTTATGTTCTCTGCACATTTTAAAATGGAAATACTTGTCTTTTTGTTGTTGAGGTGGAGAAGTTGTCTAACTTGTATTCTGTTGTTTGTGCATACTGAGTTATGTCTGAAAGTGTGGTGCTTATGTGCCATGGAATCATTTCTGACTCATAGTGACCCTGTACAGGGTTTTCAAGGCTGTAAATCTTTCCGGGAGCAGAAAGCCTCATCTTAGTTTTGAACTGCTGCCCTTGAGGTTCGCAGCCTGATTTGTAACCACCATGCTACCAGAGCTCCTTGTTTGAAAGTATATCTATGCCATTATGCTAGAGCACCTAAGTTTGCCCCTGTTTTCTTATGGTGTGAGATGCGAGTCCTGTTTAATGGTTTCTGTAGTGATACTCAGTTTTGTCTGAATCATTTGTTAAAGAGATTTTCTTCCCCACTAAGTGAATTGTGGCTCTTTGTCAAAGATCAGCTGTCCACAGGGGACCTCCCATATCTATGACCTTCCATCTCGAAGTTTTAACAGACTTGGTATCAACTCTTCTCTTTGAATGATTGGGGGATTCTCCAGTGAGACCATCTGCACGGGACTTTTCTTTGCTTGTGTCTGCTCATTTTTTTCTTTATGATCACGTCTTCTATTTCTTGTTTTAGTAATTTATGGATTTCTATTTTTTCTTTGTCAGTTTGGCCAATAGTTTGCCAATTTTGGAACTCTGGTAGCATAGTGGTTATGAATCGGGCTGCTAACCTCAAGAGGCAGCAGTTCGTAACTACCAGCTGCTCCACGGGAGAAAGATGAGGCGTTCTGCTCCAGTAAAGATTTACAGCCTCGGAAACCCTGTACAGGGTTGTTATGAGTAGGAACCGACTCCATGGTACATAATAACAACAACAACAACTCAAATTACCAATTTCTGGCCTTATTGATTCTTTGTATTCTTTTTCCATTTACTATTTCATTTATTTTTGCTTTGATCTTTAACCCCTTTCTTGCCTTATAGTTCTGCCTAACAATTCCAGCATAATATTGAATTTTGTTGTTGTTAAGTGCCATCGAGTCGATTCCGACCCATAACGAACCTGTACAGGGTTTCCAAGGAGCAGCTGGTGAGCTTGAACCACCGATGTTGCAGTTCAAACGACTTTGCAGTCTGATACATTAGCCCACAGCGCCAGACCAGAATAGGAGTGGTGATAAAAGGCATCCTTATCTGGTACCTGTTCGCAAAAGGGATGGCTTCTGTTTCTCTCCATTTGAGAGTGATATTGGCTGTTGGTTTTGCATAAATGTCCTTAAATATGTTGAGAAACTTCCTTTCCATCCCAGTTTTGGTTAACTGTATTTATCAGGAATGGGTGTTGGATTTTGTCATATGCCTTTTCTGCATTGATTTATATGGTTTTTTTTTATTCCTTTGTTTTATTTATGTGATATATTATGTTGATTGTTTCTCTAATATGGAATCATCCCTGCACAGCTAGTATGAATACTACTTGATCACGACGTATCTTTTTTTTTTTTGATATGATCATATCTTTTTGCTTTTCAGTTTTGTGGGAGTACAATTGTAGTGTGAGCCCACCCTACCCAGCTCTATAATCCCAAGAGTGGCAGGGAGAACATCTCAGTCGATGGGCTTTGCAAAGCTTGCCCTTTGTCTTTAATCCCTCAAGTTTTGGGCCCGTGACTGTTGGGAGCTGAATAGTGGGCGCAGACTTGGGATATTCAGGAGGGAGGTTGCTGGAGGAGTCGAGGGAAGACAAGGGGCAGAGGGGCGGTGCTTCGGCAAAACTGCTCCCGGAGACCGCTGTGAGGCGCTCGGGAGCCGATCGCACATCGCACCGGGAGAGCCGCGCGTCTGCCGTCCCGGACTCCTCTGGCCGCGGAACCTCAGCTCCCGCAGCCCGCCCCAGCGTAGTTGGTCCCCAGGGCGCGCCCCGCGCACAACCACAGCCTCCAGGGCGCAGAGGAGGATGCAGCCGCCCGTGCCACCTGTGCCCGGGCCCCTGGCGCTGCTGGACACGACAGGTAAGCCGGGAGCCGTTCCCAGCGACTTCGCTCCGCCACACAGGGCTCTGGCTGGGCTGCCGGGGAGGCTGGGGGCTCAGTGGGCCTGGGGTGCGGCTGCCTGCCCTTAACCTGCCAGGGTAGCTGGACAGATTTGCGAAGAACTTCTGGAGCCCGTGGTCCACGTTCTTCCCTCCTCGTTTGAGCTTTTATCTTTAGGGTACCGTATTGGGAATTCATTCATTGCCCTAATTCTTCCTGTCTTTCTGTCCCTTTTTATCCTGTGTGTCTCTCTCTGAGTTTGTGTCTGCCTCTTCATTTCCCCGCTATCTTTATGACTAAGAATAGAACTTGATACTTAAATATTTGTCAACCTAAACGCCTTTCCTTTCCCAACTCCTCTACTCTATTCCAGTCTCTGAAAATGTGCTGGGAAAAGTTGGTTTCAACTAGCTAGGTAGCTAATGTCTTTTTGTTCGAAAGTAATAAACGCAGGCATTTTTTAATGATCAAAAATAAATAAATTGGAATGCAGTTCGGTTCCTGCGCGCCCTCCCCACAGGCCTCTCCCCCATAAATTCACACGGAACCTCAACTTCTTTAACTTCCCGGATCAAACGTTATGGGGCCTTGGAGCCAGCAGGCGTTGGAAAACAGGAAATCTGTTGCGTGTTCCCAAGTTCGGGTTTGGTTCTCTGCCGGGAACAATGCCCTGCGGCTGTGCGTCCCTGAAGGAAAGGGAACAAGGAAGATTAAAAAAAAAAAAAAAAATTCATGGTAACTGATGCATGGACCACTGTAATGAGATGAAAATGACTTGTCCAGTGAAACTCTGTTATTTGCTACAGAAAAAAACAGACCTAAAACGGCTGGTGTCTAACCTTAGAACCATGTTTGGAGAATATTAGGGAAATCTTTGTTTTTTTTTTTATATAACAGTAACTATTGTTGTCTGACTCTGTGGCACTGTTGGATAAGCAGTGGATTGCTAACCGCAAGGCCAGAGGTTCAGGCCCACCAGCCGCTCCTTGGAAACCCCATAGAGGGTCGCTATGAGTCATCGACTCCCCGGCATTTAACAACAACAACAAAAACAACAACAATATAACTGTTACGTAATACCCAAGGAATCTGGTTTCTTGCGAAAAGACACAGTTCTATAGTTCTCATCCTATGTAGCAAAATGCTCTACGACTTTATAAATTTGTTCACATTGTTTTCATCTTGCAAGAAACTACCTTGTTTGTGTCAACTGCTTTATCAGAATGACTTCATGTTTGTTTGTTTTTAAAGATTTTTACTTATTTTATTTTTCTTCTGATAAGCGCATTAAACTTAAACAAACAAACAAAAACAGTTATTGTGAAATCCACTCTACCTCATGCAGACCTCTGAGTAGAACTGTGCCCCATGGGGTTTTCAATGGCTCACTTGTTAGAAGTCGATGGTACCTTTGGGTAGACGTGAACCTCTGGCCTCCTGGATAGCAGCCAAGTGTGTTAACTGGACCTTCCAGGGACAACTCCCTTCCCCAAAGAATCAGAATAAGAGAAATTATTTTATTTAAAAATGCAAAACGTTAGTGTAGTTGGAACATAGGATTGTGGGTATTTTCTACTTTCCCTTATCTATTGAATCCTCTCCTGAGTTTTTTGCCTTGGGCACGTGTTGCAGGTAAAAGCAGAAGGTAAAAAAACAAACAGGCTGAGGAGGTACCCAGTTCAGCTTCCTGGTCTTCACATTAACTGTCTCCAGTGCTAGCTAATGGTCATTCTTTCTGGGAGGCAGGAGAGAGCAAGGCTGGGAACCCTTCCAAGCTGTGTCCCCTCCTCCTCTTCTTGTGTGACATCCCCCTTCCCTGATAAAGTGGATCTCACAGAATTCCTGTTCCCTCCTTCTACTTCTTTGAGACAGGATCAGCTTTCCACAGGGACAGTGCTTTCTTCCCTCCAGCCAAGCCTGGAAAGGAGGGGGAAGAGGCACGGGGAGCAGGGGTGGGAGAATGAGAGGGTCTGGCAAAGAGTGGGAGTTGATATTCCGAGAACAGATAGGATGCACCTGGGGACAGATTGGAGTTAGGGAAAACAGCAAGCCTACAGATGAGAGGGAGCTCTTAGCCCCTTCAGCCTCACACCTCACACCTCAAGGCTTCTCTTGCAGGCCCTCCTAGGAGGCACTATCAAGAGTAACTGCTATGCTGTCTCAAAATTAATACCACCCATGATAACCAGCATGTCTTGAGTTCATAAAAACGTATACAAAGCACTCAGAAATGTTTATTTTCTCACTGGATTTTCACAGCGGTCTGGATGAGTAAAGCAGGTGTTATTATTTCTGTCTTACAGATAAGGAAACTGAAGGTCATTCATTTATTCAACACATTTGTCCCTCTGAGTTAGGCACTGGGGAGCCAGGGGTGGACAAGACAGACAGAGTCCCTGCTCGCTTAGGGTTCTCCTTCTACGTGGTTCAGAGGGATTAAGTGAGTGATCCAAGACCTCCCAGCAGTTGTGAGCCGACCCAGAAAGGTCTGTGTGTGGTCCTTGTAAGCTGACATCACTGTTTATCAGTCTAGTAGTGATGTTTCCAGCACTTTCATTGTACTGAGCAGGTAATAACACTATTTCTGTTAACGGGGTACAAGAAGTGAGGAAACGATTTAGGCAATTCTGGTTACCTCTCTCCAATGTAAGGAGGCCTGGTGAAGCAGTGGTTAAGTACTTGGTTGTTAACCGACAGGTCACTGGTTTGAATCTATTGGCTGCTTCTTGGGAGAAAGATGTGGTTGTTGACTTCCATAAAGGTTGACAGCCTTGGAAACCCTATGGGGCAGTTCTCCCCATTGCTGTGAGTCAAAAGTAACTTGATGGTAATGGATTTGGTGTAATTGGCTCTCCACTGTGAAACCCTCTTTCTCTCCAAAATCTGGTCTAAAATGTGAATGCTTCATGGCCACAATAAAGATATTATACCTTTTTCTTGAGTATATTATCTTTTATTCTCATGACATGTATTTATGATAAGGATTTAATGTTGGGATTCTTCTTTTTATTATCCTTGGTGTACCTGGAGACAAAATACTGTTGTCCAAACTTACTTACTGGTCCAGTTGTGAGGATTTTTGTTTTCTTTATGCTGAGGTGTAATCCAAACTGAAAGTTGTAGTCTTTGGTCTTCATCAATAAATACTTCAAGTCTTCTTTATGTTCAACAAGCAAGGGTGTGTCATCCGTATATTGCAGTTTGCTAATGAGTCTCACCAGCCGCTCCTTGAAAACCCTATACAGGGTCTCTATGGGTCAGAACCGACTTGATGGCACTGAACAACAACCACATCGAGTCTTTATGTATTCTTGGTGCATTGTTCTCCTTCATATAATCCAGTTTCTCAGATTATTTGTTCAATATACAGATTAAATAGTTTGGCGAGGGGATACAATCCTGAAAACCACCTTTCCTGATTTTAGACCACGCAGCATCACCTTGTTCTATGCGGACAACTGCTTCTTGATCTAAGTAGAGATTTTCCATGAGCACAATGAAGGGTTCTGGAATTTCCATTTTTCATAGTGTTCTCTCTAGTTTCTCATGATTCACACAGCCTTTGCACAGTCAGTAAATAAAGCACGAGTAAACAAGCCGTTGTTGTTACTGCCATTGTAAGCTTATTTGCAACTCATAGTCACCCATGTGACAGTTTAGAACTGCCCCAGGGGCCCTTGATGGTGCTGTCGGATAAGCACTGGTCAGCAGCTTGAGCCCACCAGCCACTCCCCTGGAGGAAGATGAGGCTTTCTGCTCCCATGTAGTTTTGTTGTTGCTGTTATTAAATACCGTGGAGTCGGTTCTGACCCACAGCGACCCTGCACAGGGTTTCCGAGGCTGCAAATCTTTACGGGAGCACAAAGCCTCATCTTTCTCCCGTGGAACAGTTTGTAGTTTTGAACTGTCGACCTTGAGGTTAATAGCCTGATTCGTAACCACTATGCTACCAGAGCTCCTCAGAAACCCTATGCTGGGTCCTATGTGTCAGAAATGATTCTATGGCAGGAAATTTGGGTTCTTTTTGGATTTTTTAAGGAAGTAGAATGTCAGGTCTTTCTTCCCAGAGCTGCTGGGGGGATTCTAACCACCAACCTTGAAAGTTTAGCAGCTGAGTGCTGAACTGTTTGTACCACCAGGGCTCCTTAATAGACAATGAATTTCTTTAGTGAAAGCAGTAGAACAAAATCCTCAGAAAGGAGCAAATTTATCTGATAATTTCCTCAAAAAAAAAAAGAAAAAGTTTTAGGAGTCTTAATTGTTGTTCAGACATATTTTCTTAATTGAAAGATTGGAGTGGCTACCTAAGGAAAAAGGAGCTCTGGTAGCGTACCATTTACAAATTGGGCTGCTAACCTCAAAGTCAGCAGTTCGAAACTACCAGCTATTCTGTAGGGGGAAGATGAGGCTTTGTGCTCCCGTAAAGATTTACAGCCTCGGAAACCCCGCACAGGATCGCTATGAGTCACAACCGACTCCATGGCACATAACCACCACCACAACCACCTAAGGAAAAAGTAGTCAATGAGGAACAGCTGAAAAGGGAACTAACTGCATTAATGAAAACCAGTTGGCGTTCGGCTCGATGCGCAGATCCTACTTGTAGGCTAGTAAGGGCAGTATGGGGTGTTGGAGATGTTAATCCCCATGATTGAAGGAGAGAAAGAAAATCAGACTGCTTTAACTAGAGATAAAATTGCTGCCCAATTACTAGATGGCATTATGAGTATTGGGGGCCTGGGGTGGCACTGTGGGATAATGCACTGGACCACAAGGTCATTTTGAACTATAAGGTTGGCAGTTCAAACTCACCAGCAGCTCCTTGGTCACCCTATTTAGGGTCGTTATGAGTCAGAACCAACTCAATGTACTTAATAACAACAACAAATTATTACTATTATTAGAATCATTTTTTGAACATTCAAAATAGTAGTTCCACCAACTTTCAAATTGTAGAATAGGATTTGTAAAAAAAAAAA